TGTTTCGCAAACTGGTGCTTGAGCAGTTTTATTAACAGTTCCTAGGTGGAAGGGAAGCTACTCTTTCTACGAATCATACCAGTGACTATTATATCCCAGCTAATTAGATGCTTTGTAACCCAGGCGTTTAGTAGCCACCCCAAGAGGAAAATGATGATGCATAGCCAATTAAAGTTGTTTTATTTGACACCAAAATTTTAGATATGTATATATCTGATAGTATTATAATGTATACTAGGAAACTCCCGCCCGATCAAACATTTGCCCTTCGCCAAGGAAATCAGTTTTCACTCAGTGTTAATTTAGCCCTTCACATTTATTTGCTGTTAACCTATATTCGTTGTAATGATGAATTCATCCGGACCACTGACAAAAAAACAAAAGTTAAACTGCACAGGAGCATTCAACTTATCAAAATGTAGTTTATAAGGATTCAGTAAAACAACAAAAAGTGATATTTAAACTGTATGCTTAAAATTTGAGAAATCACCCATCATATCAACTAGTAGACTGGGGTGGCATGGAGGTGGCAGTTTTCCCACCCCGCACATATTTTCAACATACCTTTCAGCAATCAGAGAAATCAGATGGGCCATTAAGCTACAAGGATTTAGAGGAAGCTAAAAACACATTTTTTTTGTGAGGCATACTCAGTAATAACTTTTACCCATAAAATCCTCACCACAAACATAACAATTTTCCTTCCTGTATGGTTCTTGAGATATGTGCACCGCCAGAGTTGCTGGACTTTTTGCCTGTATTTAATATATATGTGTCTTGAGCCATTTCTGCAGATGTTGTTTCACGTACATTATACCACATTAATACCACCAGATACCGTAAGTTATTTCTTTACAACTTCTTTCCTGCATATGTCAAGCTTGGTGACCCCAGATCACGTTGGTCAGTATATATACTGCAGGTCACCGATTGCTTTACCAAACCCCTGACAGCAAACATAACATGTCCAGAGGGGAATTTAGAAATCTATTAACACATGCTAATTGCTGACGCTGGAAGCAATAAGGCCAGGATTCAAATAGACTGCCAGTCTTTCAAATATGTAGTAAAACCTGTATTACACTAAAAGCGGGGTAATTTGACCGGTATGTGGAGGGTATGTTACAATCAAATAATATTGTGCTCAACCTGATGACCATTCTACTATTTTGAGTTAAACAACCATGTTCTGAGTTTTGCTCATCAATGGCAGAGCCCGAGAGACCAACCTGAAGGGGTTTCTAGTGAAGCGTAACTCGACTGGGTCGATCGTTGTCGATCAGGTATCTCAATTGATAGAGCTTCTGTCTAGAGTTTGGAGGGTCCTGTGTTCGAACCCCGGTCTGGCTGTGCATTTTCCCTCTCCTGTTATAGTTGCGATTTGGCCAACCCTTGTTTAAAGAATTGAATGTATACCACTTGTCAAGGGGGTATCTGAACCTCAGGGTTGTAAATAGTGATGTCTTCGGGAGCAAATACTACATTAGTATAGAGCGTCCGCCTGGCGTTGGGTCCAAAATGGGGAGGAAAATTGTTTTTTAAAAGAAAATTCACTGACGGGGAATGAAGCCTACATCTTTTGGCAGTACTTTAATTTGGTAAGAAAACGTCTTATGGTTTATGCACATACCCAACAGCATGTTAGATACATCAGATAAGTCATGCCAGGTACGCTTTTCCGGTTTCACGTGCTCCTGATGAGGGCGGGAAAACTGCAAATGCCGGTGTGTTCGATTCGCTTACAGCTTAAGGGGACATAACTCGTGTCGATCCACACGCGAGAGCTTGCATTGACTGACGTACTTTTAAAGTTATGCGCTTTAATTTCTGTATGAACACTTTTATTTAACGAGCAGTGGTTACGTTGTTATGATTTTACCCTGTCGATTTAAAATTATAATTCTGAACGAAGCAGGATGTTTGTAATGCTGGACGTGTTAATGCTTAATTAGAAAAATAATAATAAGACGTATTATTCTATAGGATATAATTTAATTGATATACAAAAAGTAAACGGAACACTGAAAATAATCGTACCCGAGCGCTTCTAAATTTCATTTTCCCAGTGTGCATTCCCTCATCCATCAGCCGCACACCTTCAGTGGGATAAGTTTACCAAAAAGTTGAATTATGAAATCTTTACAACGACACTACTGTTCATATCTCTGATTTAAAATTATAATAATAAATCAGAACATGTTAGAGTGTATCTAGCTAATTTTTTGAAACTGTTCAAATTCATTGTCACACGCTACATTTTGTAATATATTATTTCATACAACTGCGGGTCGTAGTAAAATACCTTTTTTCTCATCAAAATTGTGCACTGTTGTGGATAAAATTTTATGAAATTTTCATTTGTTACTGGACCACTGTGTATATACCTCCATAATTTCAAAAAAACATTGACTTATTTTGACATATTTTCTGTGAATTTATAAAATATTCTAAATACGAGGCCTACGTGGAACCAGTCGCTTAATACCGACCGCTGGTCAGTGGTTACCTACACCACCATATATATAGCTGTTAGGACGTAAAGCACAAACAACCCAAACTTGTGTTTATTAGCCCTTTAATGTTTACTGGGATACTTATGCTCAGTAAAATTTTGCCATACGCCGGTAAAATCTGTATTTTCCCACCTTGTGTTAATTTCGATTGCTATGTTTTAAATGTTGTTCTCTTACGATGAATAGTTTGAAAACAAAAATGCCGCTCAAAGGGTACTCATGTGTTTCTATTATTATTCAACGAATAAAAGGTTTACGTTACTGTTTAAAAGTAAAACCTATAGCGAATAATAGGATTATAAAATATTGTACATAAATGGTCAATTACACATGGTAGATCTTAAGACTATGCTATGTAAGTACATAAACGAACTTTCCAATGATATTAACGCAGAAAACTATTTCAATTATCTGAGAGACATGTCAGTAGAACATGACACATTCAGTACAGTAGTATAGCTACTGTGGTGTAAAATAAATGCTAAAATGGGAATAATTTAGGCCGAATAATTTACGAACTTATACATTATACAAGTTTGAGCTGTTTGTTCTGAATGTATTAATTCCTAGAACTATCGCAGAATCCTTAGTTTCTTGAGATGTGGTAATAACCTTCCACTGACAGTTGAAACCGGGCGATATCTTCATCCTGAAGTCCTACTTAACCAAGGACAACATAAATGACTGTGGTTTTTATTTTTATATTGTTACATATTTGAAGATTTTTGTAATGGACCACTTTGTGCGTACTTTTATGTTCTATGTTACATGTATATGACTATTTAATGGAATACAACTTGCATAAATATGATAACTGGTAATGTAAATGTAATATTTTGATTTGATTTTTGTATATTTATATATAGAGGGAGAATATAGTGTCTCATAAGCCGGTATGGCTAGGTATTTTTAAATGCGTTCGTTGTTATAAACTTTTAGTATGTTTGATTGATTATTCAGAATAAGGACAGTTTTATGTACGCCTCTCGACCATACATATTATTTTATCAATGATTGATATTTGGAGATTTACGTCGTCTTTAAATGACATTATTTTCAAGACTATAAGTTGAGAAGTGCATACTTACAGTTTTAAAACTAAACACCCTTAAATGATGATCATTGGGGTGGCATTTTTACCGAAAGTTGATATAAACCCCTAAAACGTGTAAAATTACTCTGGACACCTTAGTTAAGGTCCAAATATAGCTGTAACAAATTATCAGGTCCCTGTGGTTAGAATGAGCTTTCATGATTGCTAACCTGGTTAAAATTACATCGTACACGCGATGGGGACTGTTCCCATCAGGAGTAGGATATGATTTTCATTAAATTGGAGGGTTGCGTCTCTATTACAAAGTTCAAAAACGTACTTGACGTACGGTTTCCGAAAAAAGGGGGAAAAATAAATCTCATGCACGTGTTAATACATTTTCAAAACAATCGTAAAATGTTAAGCGAAACCAGAGACGTATAAAGCCTGTGTTATATACGTCTCTGGCGAAACCATGCAGTCGATATATAATTATATGATTCAAACTTTGGTAACTACATAGGAATCTGATTACAGCAATCAGATATCATTGTTGACGTTTTGTAATTATAGAATTATGTCAACCTCCCTGGTAAAATTATTGGTTGGTATATATATGGTACCACTGTCGCCCATTCTGTACTATATGTGACATATACATACGTGTACAAATATTTAAGTGTAACATTTTATTATTTGTTGTCTCCTTTTTTATTATTTTGATACGGTTTATTTTGAATTGATAGGTCTATATCGTATCAGAAGTACAGACAGCTTTTAAATATTTAAGTAACTGCTTGTCTATAGAACCAGGGCCGTTTTCGTTTAAACGGTTGAACTGGTCGGACCTAGTTGAATCTGATGCTGTTTTCAGGCGAGCCTTGACAAGCCTTGCAAGGCCTGCGTAAACATTTACAGGTCCGCCAACATTTATATCCGAAATTGTTACATTTATAAACGGACAAACCGGTTGTTTCACAGGATTTTGTACGTCGTCTGCATATTGTTTCCGTTTCCTAAAGAGGCCAATCGGGGGTATCTGTAGGCGAACCAAAGTCGTATTTTCGGAATCCCATGCCAACGCGTATCATAAAAATCATAATCCGTTATGTTGATATTTCATCATTCAATAGAATGAATATTATCCAACAAGCTTTTAACTTTTGATCGACAAATTTGGCACCTTTTACATAAGCACTCGCTTTTGCTGTGTGTCACTGCAATAAGTTCGTATACACTATACTAACACAAATAATATACTCTGCATCGTTCAAATTATTTCACGATATTGTTTTGACCAAAGACATTGGCAGACTTTACATTGGTGTGTCAAGCGATTTATAGTAAGTACACATGTTAAAGAAAAGCTCCGTATGATTGCATAAATGTAGGAGTAAATGACTTATTAAAATGCACGGTCTCAAGTTTACCTAAATTGTTACGTCTGTTTTCAGGTTATCGGAAAAGAAGGGGAACCCCCTTCTATTCCCTACTGAGGCCATGCGTTAGGGTATTGGATAAGATCCATTTTTCTATACGTGTTTCTTTGTGGAAAGACTTGGTGGATTTTTGCAAAATTAGCGAATTTCATAGATGCATGAACGTTGGGAACTCTAATCCTTCATAAACCAGGTAAGCATGTTTCAACTACCACCAGCAACATTTTCTAAGCTTTGCATTTTCTGCAAATTAACTGCAAGGTGACATCCACCCCCAATGTCGTAAGACATGCAGATTCACTTACAATTCCTATGCTCGCTTTCTATTTAGCTTGTTGCATCAGTATTAAGATTAAACGTGATTGCATTCATATATCAAAGCTCCAGGAAACTACCTGATGAAGTATTGCATTAGATATTGAGTCAATGCGTTTGATGCATTCTGCATGTGTGCAATATCTAAAGGAACACATTCTATCTAAGTTCACATAAAATATGTCATAGATATATAAGTACGAAATTTGCAATATATTTGTATATTGTAAGTGAAGCATGCCAGAATACAACTAATTTCATTGTTCGAGTCCAATTAACAAACTATTTTGGATTATGAATTCATTACATCATCTCGATTTTGACTTACTCTTTATTATTTGTTTTTGTCTGCCTGTGACATTCAAATGTTGTGATCGCTTCATTAGTTGTAATAAGTAGCGCCTCATCCTTTTGTACATTTTTGGTGAATAAAAGTACTTATAAAGCTGATGTCAACAAAACTCTATAACTTTTAACCCAAGTTTCATTCTTTATATGTCTGTCTTTCATTGTTATAGCAAGCTGAAATTGTGTATAGATATTGTATATTTTAGTTTGATCTTAAAGAAATTTGCAACTTTACATTAGCAGCATCAACGTGTTTTACAAGTGTATAATTTGGAGGAAACAGCTAATATGATTAAGATTTCGTTAAGCTGGCCATTAAGATATACGTAAACATTAATGGATGTTCGGATATACTTCATAGATCCCTTTACATCGTTTGTATTCATTTCAAACATTACATACATTTGTATATCATAATATCTGCAAAAAATGTGTATCCATTTTGTGTGATTTACCAGGGACTTTAAACAGTTTTTATCCCGGTTTACCAAACATTGTATTTTAAATTTGGAAAACCCTAAAGTTGAAAACGTTTTATGCATGATAACAATACGTTGCAAACAAAATGGTAATTATCTTTTGTTTTATGTTTCAAAACCTTTGGCATTAGTTATGGTATATTTATAAAAGATTTTGTATAGAGTGTGTATTTATAGTATAGTCATGATCAGTTGAAGGTTATCGATAGCCGCGGTTAGCCGCAGTGATTTCTTCGTATTAACTTGTGGATTCGTGTGGGAAATTGTCATTTGTTTATAAAAATGTGTACAGAACGGCTTCGGGAGGAATATTCTATACCACCGAAGGATACACAGGGATACGATATAAAAGTGAGCTTGTGTTCGTAGTGTGTTATAGTTATTCATGTCATAGCGACTGCGATCTACATGTATCTAAAATTGTGTTAGGTGATAAAAGTACATCAGCCTTATTCTAGATTTTAAAAGTCTGTTTTATGATAGAAATGACTTCTTGTTTACTGGGTTGTTAATTGAAGTTAACTTATGAAAAGGAAAACAATCGTTTGATCTATGTACGTCACAGATTGGTTGCACTTATAATCTATTTTCACGTGACCTGGTTACATATAACATGATTAGGGAACATGCATGGAAAATTAGGGCGGTATTTTGATTTTACTTAAACCAATGTATCAGTATGTATAAACTATGTATCAGTTTTACCGTTCATTTTTGACCGTTTGACTTAAAACTAGATAGCCTTTGCCATGGGTAATGTGAAAATTGTATCGAAAATGTTGTGATCGTTTTCCAAATAAACTACAGTTTAATGCATTTTGTGCATTAGTCAACTGAAGCAGGTACCAGCGAAGTTGTGCATCCTACATTGCATAATAAATAAGATCCTGTGAATTTTGAGAATTAGTTCGTTAAGTCAAGTATCGTTTACAGTACTGATGATGTAATGACACGGTTATATCGACACGTAATCATGAACTCTATATGCATACATTATGAAAAATGACGGAGTTCACTGACGTATAAAGTTCCTTGGGTTTATATAAAGATATGGTCTTATTCTAGTTACTTAAAATTGAAACCAAGGTACGGGTGTGGGGGTGTGGGGTGGGGGTGNTTCACGTGCGATCGGGGTATCGAATCCCCGCCGCCTTGGTGAAAGGCAAGTGCGCTATCCACTGCACCACCCGATCACCCTAAATATATATATATATAATGTTATATGCAAAAATTACTAACCACTTCTTTGTGTGTGTTGTCATTGACTTTTTTTGTGTTATCTCATTTCCAAACAAAGTATTTTTTTTAAACTTAAGTTGAAAAAGTCTTTTGTTTAATTAACAAGAGTATAAAATCATAATTCTTACGTCTCAAAAACGTTGGAAGATGTAACACACTTCTTTTGTCAAAAATGGTCCAACATGAGAGAAAAGACGCAATTGAAAGTAGAACGTTTGATGTAATAATGTGAACGGTAATAAACACACATTTTGACCCGTTTTTGTTGCATTTTCTATTATTTATGAATATTAGTGAGAAGCGTTTCGGTTAAGCATTTTAATAAGAAAAATATGTGTAAAATGAATTTTTCCCGAACTGGAAAGAATTGCAATCTTAGTCTAGCAGTAATATCTGCAAGATAAAAATGTATTCTTATATTACGATCTGTATAAAACCTTGCCTGACGCAAATGTCGAGAAGGATATTTGTGTACAATATTAAACACATTGAATATCATATGCATGATTAATGATGTAGGGTTCATATTTTTTTGCGACAAGCTTGTTATGTCATGAACAAGTTTTCTCCTGAAATCTGCCTCGAGATATGAAAGTAAACTGAAGTTTTATTTCAATTATTTTCCTCATTTGGAAAAGTTATATTTACCACGCTTGATGAGATAGTTCAACTAACATTACAATCAGTAGGTTTGTTCATGCAAAGAAGCGCTTTTAGATGAAGCAATACTTTATATGGTTACAGTATTGGAGGATGGGAGCAGTATTTAAACCAAATTTTGTAATAATCGTATTTCAAAAACAAAACTAAAACACAATTCTGATCGCACTCCTTGTTTATGTTCAAGATAGATACATACACACAATATAAACAGCATGGGTCTCATAAGTAATAACGACAGCATGACCAATTATTGGCACTGGATCCGATCAAACAAATATGCGTTGGATGCGTCTTACTTAAATAGATATATGAGCAGTACTTCTTTGCCAATATAAATATAGCACTCGGTGTGTTTTACCATGGACATTAAGCTTTTTTCACGTTTCCCATTAAGTCGTCTTTTACCTAATGTGGATGCCCTGTTTTCTTTAACAATATGCATTTTAGAAAACATTAACAAACAAACAATACATAAATAAATAAATTGATAAACCCAAGCCCTTACGTTCACAGTTGAACAGTGGCAACTTAATAATGTGTTTCGATCAACGTTTTCTTCAATATATATCTTCAATGTTCTGTCAAATACCATTGAGCACGAACATTTCAAAGGAATTAATTAAGTTCTCTATAGTTTGTTCACTAATGCCAAACTGCACTCTTATCTCGCTGGATGCATAATTCCAACAACTCTAAATTAATGTGAACTTGTTCACGTCTTAACGCCATGATAGGTTTTAAAACATTGATGAATCTTTCATATTAGGGAAATGATGATGTGTGATCAAGAGATTGATTTCGGCTCTCTTTTTTTTTGTTACTAATCATTTGTACACGGAATATATTCCTTAATGTAATGGTATTTGGATAGATGTTCACACTAATACTTGCAACACTGTTTGTGTCTTTGTTAATAATATGTATTTCTGTCTATTTCAGGGTAAATGTGTGTGTGCAAGCCGATGGCGGATGGTGGGGCGATAGGTAAACTGAGCAACAATTAACTTCATGAATATATTTGTATTTCATGCACTTTAAACCATTTTGTACCCTGTAATTCAAGCATATGCGTTTTTTTAATAAATTGGTGTAAATATGGCCCTGCAACTTTGATAATATGATACAAGTACAGGAAATGTTACAAAAGCATACTGTTGAATAAAATGTGAAATTCTATGTAAATCATATGTAAAAAATGTTTTCATTGCTGTCAGCTCAATAAAATGATAAAATCTTAATGATATAAGCATGGTCATTGACATATTATAAAAATGGTAAGGGCGATTGACGAATAAGAAGAAATTGCATAGTAAATGTATGCACTTCTAGTTAAAGTAATAACATATGTTAACTGTTTTCGTTTAACCATGTGATTACAAAAATATTCAGTCAGTCCACATACTGAACTTCTGGTGCATAGCAATGGGTTCCCCTATATTTCCGAGTCATGATTTAAAGGAGTTGGTCATGTCTCCTGTTAAAGGAAGCTGAAGGAATTTATGTCTCTCAGTTGGAAGGACGGATCTGTCATTCACTTTATTAATCTAATGTCTCCTCTTGACGTTGATCTCATTCTCGAAATCCAAGGATTTTGCTTTCCATACATTAGCTGTTCTGTCCCCCTGGATTATGTCATGACAAAATCGTATGGCTTGCAGATGATACAGATAGACTAGTGTGATGCTTTTTTTTTATGAAGATAAAAGTAATCACACGGCAGCGTAACGGTTAAATCGACAAGCTCTGAGTTGGACGTATCTCATCTGTTATTTAAGTTAGGTTTTTATATCCGAAACCAGTCATATAGATTCCATCGAACCTTTGATTTAGTCATGACATATTCAAGGGGTGTAGAGAAGATACGTTATCAAGAGCGTGACCCTTGGATTTTGAGGACGCGTTTCTTTATGTTTTATCAGATGCGAGGTCCACGGATTAATTATCAAATATCGACACTTAATTGCACGTTTTTGTCTCTATCACATTAAGTATCTTTAAGTGTTTTGTAAATGTTTCGAAAAGCAACACTTAATTGTACATACTAATCGCCCTTCAGGTACCATTTCCATCACTACATAAACAAGCATTACAAACAATATTCATCCTACTATACAAAATATAAACATTAAATAAATATCCAACATTGAAACCTACAAAGACAAAACATTATATATAATATCAAAACTACTACAGTGACAAAACATTATATATAATATCAAAACTACTACAGTGACAAAACATTATATATAATATCAAAACAACTACAGTGACAAAACATTATATATAATATCAAAACTACTACAGTGACAAAACATTATATATAATATCAAAACTACTACAGTGACAAAACATTATAGCAAAACTACTACAGAGATAATACATTATATCTGATATCAAAACTACTAGAGATAATACATTATATCTGATATCAACAATACTACAGGGATAAAACATTACTTACAATATCAGAACTACTACAGCGATAATACATAATATATACTATCAACACTTCTACAGGAATAAAACGTTACTTACAATATCAGAACTACTACAGAGATAAAACGTTATATCTGATACCAAAACTACTACAGAAACAAAACATTATATATAATATCAACACTACTACAGAGATAATACATAATATCTGATATCAAAACTACTACAGGAATAAAACGTTACTTAAAATATCAAAACTACTACAGCGATAAAACATAATATATAATATCAACACTACTACAGGAATTAAACGTTACTTAAAATATCAGAACTACTACAGCGATAATACATAATATATAATATCAACACTACTACAGGAATAAAACGTTACTTACAATATCAGAACTACTACAGCGATAATACATAATATATAATATCATCACTACTACAGGAATAAAACGTTACTTAAAATATCAGAACTACTACAGCGATAATACATAATATATAATATCATAACTACTACAGCGATAATACATAATATATAATATCAACACTACTACAGGAATAAAACGTTACTTAAAATATCAGAACTACTACAGCGATAATACATAATATATAATATCATAACTACTACAGCGATAATACATAATATATAATATCAACACTACTACAGGAATAAAACGTTACTTAAAATATCAGAACTACTACAGCGATAATACATAATATATAATATCATAACTACTACAGCGATAATACATAATATATAATATCAACACTACTACAGGAATAAAACGTTACTTAAAATATCAGAACTACTACAGCGATAATACATAATATATAATATCATAACTACTACAGCGATAATACATAATATATAATATCAAAACTACTACAGAGATAATATATAATATATAAAATCAACACTACTACAGGAATAAAACGTTACTTACAATATCAAAACTTCTACAGAGATAAAACATTATATATTATATCAAAACTACTACAGAGATAAAACATTGTATATAATATCAGAACTACTACAGTGATAAAACATTATATATCATATCAACACTACTACAGTGATAAAACATTATATATCATATCAACACTACTACAGAAATAAAACATTATGTATAATGTCAAAACTACAACAGAGATGAAACATTATATCACAACTACTACAGAGATAAAACATTACATATAATATCAAAACTACTACAGGAATAAAACGTTACTTAAAATATCAAAACTACTACAGATATGAAACATTATATCAAAACTCCTACAGAGATAAAACATTATATATAATATCAAAACTTCTACAGGAATAAAACGTTATATCTAATACCAAAACTACTACAGAGATAAAACATTATATATAATATCAACACTACTACAGAAATAAAACATTATGTATAATATCAAAACTACTACAGAGATAAAACATTATATCAAAACTACTACAGAAATGAAACATTATATCAAAACTACTACGGAGATGAAACATTATATCAAAACTAATACAGAGATGAAACATATCAAAACTACTACAGAGATAAAACATTATATCAACACTACTACAGAGATGAAACATTATAGCAAAACTACTACAGAGATGAAACATCATATCAAAACTACTACAGAGATGAAACATTATTTCAAAACTACTACAGAGATGAAACATATCAAAACTACTACAGAATTCTACAGAGATAAAACATTATGTATAATAGCAACACTACTGCAGAGATAAAACGTTATATATAATACCAAAACTACTACAGAGATGAAACATTATTTCAAAACTACTACAGAGATGAAACATTATTTCAAAACTACTACAGAGATGAAACATATCAAAACTACTACAGAATTCTACAGAGATAAAACATTATGTATAATATTAACACTACTGCAGAGATAAAACGTTATATATTATATCAAAACTACTACAGAGATGCAACATTATATCAAAACTACTACAGAGATGAAACATCATATCAAAACTACTACAGAGATGAAACATATCAAAACTACTACAGAATTCTACAGAGATAAAACATTATGTATAATATCAACACTACTACAGAGATAAAACATTATGTATAATATCAACACTACTACAGGAATAAAACGTTATTTAAAAAATATCAGAACTACTACAGAGATAATATATAATATATAAAATCAACACTACTACAGGAATAAAACGTTACTTACAATATCAAAACTACTACAGAGATAAAACATTATATATAATATCAAAACTACTACAGAAACAAAACATTATATCTGATATCAAAACTACTACAGTGATAAAACATTAATATATAATATCAACACTACTACAGAGATAAAACATTATGTATAATATCAACACTACTGCAGAGATAAAACGTTATACATTATATCAAAACTACTACAGAGATGAGACATTATATCAAAACTACTACAGAGATGAAACATATCAAAACTACTACAGAGATAAAACATTATGTATAATATCAACACTACTACAGAGATAAAACATTATATATAATATCAACACTACTACAGAAATAAAACATTATGTATAATATCAACACTACTGCAGAGATAAAACGTTATATATTATATCAAAACTACTACAGAGATGAAACATTATATCAAAACTACTACAGAGATAAAACATTATATGTAATATCAAAACTACTACAGGAATAAAACGTTATATCTGATACCAAAACTACTACAGAGATAAAACATTATATCTGATACCAAAACTACTACAGAGATAAAACATTATTTATAATATCAACACTACTACAGAGATAAAACGTTATATATAATATCAAAACTACTACAGAGATGAAACATTATATCAAAACTACTACAGAGATGAAACATTATATCAAAACTACTACAGAGATAAAACATTATATCAAAATTACTACAGAGATGAAACATTATATCAAAACTACTACAGAGATGAAACATTATATCAAAACTAATACAGAGATGAAACATATCAAAACTACTACAGAGATAAAACATTATATCAAAACTACTACAGAGATGAAACATATCAAAACTACTACAGAGATATTTTTTTTATATCAAAACTACTACAGAGATAAAACATTATATCAAAATTACTACAGAGATGAAACATTATATCAAAACTACTGCAGAGATAAAACATTATATCAAAACTACTACAGTGATGAAACATATCAAAACTACTACAGAATTAAAACATATAAAAACTACTACAGAGATAAAACATTATATCAAAACTACTACAGAGATGAAACATTATATCACAACTACTACAGAGATAAAACAATATATCTGATACCAAAACTACTACAGAGATGAAACATATCAAAACTACTACAGAGATAAAACATTATATCAAAACTAATACAGAGATGAAACATATCAAAACTACTACAGAGATAAAGCATTATATCAAAACTACTGCAGAGATAAAACATTATATCAAAACTACTACAGAGATAAAACATATCAAAACTACTACAGAGATAAAGCATTATATCAAAACTACTGCAGAGATAAAACATTATATCAAAACTACTACAGAGATAAAACATATCAAAACTACTACAGAGATAAAGCATTATATCAAAACTACTGCAGAGATAAAACATTATATCAAAACTACTACAGAGATAAAACATATCAAAACTACTACAGAGATAAAGCATTATATCAAAACTACTGCAGAGATAAAACATTATATCAAAACTACTACAGAGATAAAACATTATATCAAAACTACTACAGAGATAAAACATATCAAAACTATTACAGAGACAAAACATTATATCTGATATCAAAACTACTACAGAGACGAAACAATATATATAATATCAAAACTACTACAGACTATATGATTGAGTGTTAACAATAATAACTTTTCGAACGTTTATGAAAGTACTTTTTACTAACTTCGAGAGATAACGATGTATTTTGAACAATTTATATATTCATGTAGTCTTGTCATTTGATTCTTACCAAATATATTCTTCAAACTAAGACATTCTTTATATCAGCTTTGTGTAATCTTCCAAAAACTAAATATAATAAATGAATCACTTGGACACTCTTAAAAAGAAAATATGTCTACTTTTTAAATTAAATTAAATCGGTAAAAATATTAATCATCGGTTATACAGATTTTTTAATCTGTAGAAAGACATGACTGTTAATTTATATACCACTCGTATTGCTATAATGAAATTGTTTGGGTTTTGACCCTTGACCTTTGTTGATTTATTTAGAGGATGGTGACCCCCCGCTTGCTGCGCCCACCATATGTATTGATTGTTTGCTGCAGAGGACCCAGACACGCTATTGGAGAAGGGGACTCTTCGGCATGTTGAAACCTCACCATGATCAGAATTCTTTAAATATGGATATTTCCTTTCTTATCTCAAATGTAATAAGCATTTTAAGTATTTTAAAATTATGTTCTTTCTATTTCCTTTGTGTGAAACTATGTTATGTTTTCAATTTTACAAGTATTATTTTGTAACTTTAGACAATAAACATTTGTTTCATGTGTATATTAGCGTCAGATGATATCAGGTACTATATCAAGCAAAATCAAATCAAGCAATGTTACAATAGGACGTACTGCACATGTGATATACGTTTAATCTTAAATTGATACAATTTCATTATTGCACAATGTATCTACACAAACATGTAAGTTTTGATATATCAGTGATACAGAAAATGCCAATACTTGATATGTGCTTAAATCTAATGTATTCAAATGTTTTAATGTACAAATGCAATTTTTTTGACAGATCCAAAATGCTATTGAAGCGAAAGTAAGAGGTCCTTACTCTCTTGTAACAATTAACTACGATATCAAACCGCCCAACTTAGATCTTGTGAGTTGGCGACGTGTTTTAGTGGGAATGGAACTTGTTTTAGAGGAACCAGACACGAACTTTGAAATCCGGAGTATTGCTGTCAGCATAGGACAATCTACGAACTCTCGGTGCTTACACGGACTGCTAATTCTGTTAAAATCATTGCAAGGTAAGTAAATTGGAAAAAAATATCTTTGAAACGTAAGGACAATTCAAAATCGATAGGAAAAGTAATGCAGCAACAAAGATCAAGGACACCAATATCAAAAACTTAAAACCTCAGGGTAAAACTTCTATTGCTTTGCCTCCTATTTGTGAAGTTAACGTTACGTGAAAAATGCCCTTTATTAAGTCCTATAACTGGATTCTAACTGTATTTATAAGAGTGAATGTAAACATCTTTTACCTGAAAGTATACCAATGCAAGCACTTTGAAAATTATTTTAGGAACTTCCAATTTTTGTTTAACAATAAGAAAAGATACGCGTAATACAAACTTTCTCCCATCCCTCTCCTTTTAGGGCTTATATGCTGATATTTAGATTTGTAATATTTCATTATACCCCGCAACAATGTTCCTCCTACAGGTTTCAGCTGAGTATCATGAAAACTTACTATGAAGTCTACCATCTGGCCATTCTATGAAAGTTATGTCCCTTTTCCCAAATGTTGACCAAGAACAATATCTCCTATAATTTCCTTTTAAGCTTAATACAATTCACTGAAGGGATTAATACTTCAAAGTTGTGTACCTGTAATTAATCTTTTGGTCTATTTGTCTGTAAGATATGCCTCTTTTCTGATATTTGTACAGACATTTTGTCTGTAGTACCCAAACTTTTCTTTCCATTACTTTCCTTTTCGGCCGATTTTTTTAATGTTTGTACATAGTATCAGTACCATACATAGTTTAAGCATGCATTTTTAAAGGAGTTTGACAACTTTTCTGATTAAAAATAGTCGTCCAAGGTCTTGCTTCTTTCATTCTTGATCGATATTTTTGGAATTTGGTACACACGACCTATACCATTAATTTGATATCTGTCATATGCTTCTTTCTTATTCCCATTAATAGATTTGGTCGAAATTAAATTCTGAACTATGAAATCTGTATAACAGTGGCGGGGTGTGGCTTACGGTTCTAGTTGATTTAACATGTTTAATGATATTGTGTTAGATGATTTAAACAAAGATATTAAATGACTGATTTTAATCGATGTCAGTGGTGTGTAACTAAATGCTTCTACATGGAACGTAAAAAATAAAACAGTCACTCTTGATCTCATCTCAACTTTCAGGCTTAGCCCTTCATCGGGGATTGTATATTAATGTGTCATGAAAAAAGTTTTTAAATAATCATATTCGGTGGCTTTTATTTTGTTTGATTTCTACAGATAATGCTAAAACAACCAGTGCTAAGTTGGATAATACAGTAAATCATTCATTGATGAGATTATTTTATTTCTCTTTATAAGTTGCTTTTTGCGTTATTTATTCAGAACTTCATTGGGACCTCATGCAAATGGTGTTGCACGTTGATAAGACACACGGCAGTATTTTGTTCGAAACGGTAAGGTGTTTTTTTTAAAAATGAGATTCGCTTATCCATTATATCTGTCTATATTATAATAAACCTTTCCTGTCTTTTGACTAAAATAATAAATTGTCATTAAATTGTTATCAAACGTTGCCTCTGTTCGAAACAGTTACTTTTGTTTTAAAATGTAATCAAACTTATCAATTATATCTGTTCATCAGACATGTAACATAAACCTCTCCTATATTTTAATTTCAAGGATTTAAATTGTCATTAAATTCTTATCAAACGCCGCCTCTCGCTCAAATATCTAATTTCAAATTTATTTTGTCAATAATTCAATTCAATCATTTTACAATTTGAGAAAATGACAAATACCGTTTTTGTTTCAGCTGACCGACATTTCCATGGGATTTTCTATACAGCCGATGTATATTGGTCATATTCGTGCTTTGTATCAGGACAACACCGTGGCAATGAGGGTACTAGGTTTTTACAGGCGCTCACCCGAGGAAGAAATAACATGGACGCAACCAGAACGACGGGACTATACCAGATCAATTCTGTGTGTGTTACGGGGACTACTGAGGGCGCCTGCAGGTGTTCAGGCATCCAGTTAGTGAATGGTTTTTAATATTTTCATGTTTAATGTGTCATATGTCATATTTAAATGAAATGTGGATTGCAATGTTTTCAGCACATTCCTGTTACCCTATGCATACTAGTTATTCGTGTATTAACACTGCCAGTGACTTAATTTTCGTGATTACTTATTCCTTTTTTTATTGTAGCGTTTCTCCAAAAATAGCTTATTCTGGTGTATCAAAATTAGTTTAAGGAGAGAAACAGCTACTACTATAATGCTATCAATATAATTTTTTTTCACTACGATCACCGGGGCTTTAGTCACTGTTTTTTTGTCGTCACCATATAACATTTGCTGGATTGTTATTACGTATCATTACTATGTGACAGCCAAGTAGTGTTTTGAAACCAAATGGTATTCTTATATTACTAGTCACTGAAGGGCAGCTAAATATGTGTTTATAGAAGCTACATTACCTACATTAAGCTAAGGAGGTGCATATTTTATATAAACTATTATTTTATAAACATTGTGCAATGAACAAATCACATGCCGAAATTAAGAAGTATATGGAATTTTGACCGACTAACAATCATATATTTCAACTACAGAAATTGTGACAAATTTAATGGTCAATGATCCGAACCCATTCTAAAGAATCACATTGTTTCTGTGCCTGTTTATCTAGGAATAGGTCCACGTTTAGAACCTCTGCCACATTTAGAAACAGGTTTGTGCGTATGAATCATCATCCTCATTCTTGTATGGTTTGGTACGTTTCAGGCTTTACCTCCTAGCAACAACTAAACTCATATGCATTGTATTGAGTGCTACAAATGCAATGTCGCGACATTATTTGTTATTCAAAAGGCAACGGTGAAACTTCAGAAGCTACGCTCTCTTACGTTCTCTTTATCTCTGGAATATGTCATTACGAAATCGAAGGATATGTACGCTACACTTTGTTGTTGATGCAAGTGTGCTGGTTTAATCCATCCATACACATCAAAAGAATCACGCGGCAGCAAAACGGTAGCTGCGTGCTTTCGATCTCATCATGATTATAATCATAATTATACTCGGGTTACAGAGAAAGTAATTGAGCGAAACCCGAGGATAAAGGGAATGCATTCAATAGAATACTTGTTCGATGACAAAACAACAGCCTTAGAACAGAAGCTGTTAATTACCTGTTCTACATAAATGTGCATAGATATATCACCTGACCAAATAATAGATTATGTTACAAATAGAAAATGTCTTCATAAATTACAATATACAATTACTGCCAATAATACCAAATGCAAGTTTTCCTACATAGTAATACTTCAATTATTAAGTCCATAAACAAAAACTTAAAATGCATGTTAAGTATTTCTTTTTGGCCAATATCATTGTTTTGTTAATAGTGTGGAAAGTCAGACATGTTCAAAAAAGAAGAAATATATGCAGTTAAGATAACATAAGGCCAAAAAAGAATTACTCATGTTTCCGCTATCATCCTTAGGTAGGCGCTTTTTTATTAGAAAAAATATATAACTATATGCTTATATAGAGCAGGAGTTCTGACTTGGACAAAGCATATCACTAAATGCCAATACAATATTTAGGATAGGCTAACAAATCTAGGGTAGGTAGGGTTAGCGGAAACGTATTGTTTTATTTGGCCTAAGGCTCTATTAGAAAGCAATCCACAATTGTCAATAAAATATGTAGTCCTTTTAGAAAACCGTATCGAAAATGAGATTTTCCTTGGAATTCAGATATAACCCCCATATAAAATTCCCACTTGTTATTTTTGTTCGGTGAGCATCGATGCTATTATTGCTTTTGTACAAATTGCTTTATATAATATGACCGTTATGAATAATTGTAAGAAAAGAACATTCTTTGATCATATTTAGTTAAAAATACAATGCAATCACTATTTGATTGCTATTATAGATTATAGAATTTCTTTCTAGAAACGTGGTTTGAAAATGTTGAAAAGTTGAAAAGAATACATCAGATAGCCGCTTCGAATATCAAGAATCACGGAATTTTGATTGATTTTGTTATTAAAACTAATGAGCGGCGCTGTGTAAACATGTTGTCAAGCATACATAAATTAAGGTGACATGAGTTGTCCACAACCGTGTTAAAGACCAAGTAAGGGAGATAACCCATTCAGTCATACAAGACAAGTTGTTATTATACTGACGTAGACTGATTGTGATATTTAAGGTTTAAGACAGGCGGTCTTTATTTAAAGGTTCCACTTTTATTCCTTTTGTTCTGTTTTTATGTAAATAATACTAAGTTATATATTATATGGTGCACTGTACAACTGTATGGCTGTGGTATACACATTTCATACTCTGGTAATAAATTGATCTCAAACGAAACACTGCCAATAGACAATGTGTTTTCATTCGTATGAGAGTATATATAGTTAAGTCAAGTGATATCAAGTGAATTTGTTTAACTTGACGAATTCGTTATCCGGGTTCATTTTTCGTTTTGCTATATTTTTTATAAAGGATTTTTTTTTTACTATAATTTTTTTCAAACATTCATTTCGACATTTTAGATTTCCAGAACACTATATTAATGAAGACATTGTGTTGTTAATCAATCAGTGCCCATTTTTTCCGAAAGTCATTTCGCAATTATGTCCGAAATTCGTCTTCTTTAGGCCCTTTCCTGTCCTTGAGTGTGGGATTCCTTCTGACATGCCGAACCATATCAGGTTGTGGAAATGACAGAAACCAAACGGACTTGTAATAGTAATTTAATACGTGTATAAGAATTAAGTAAGGAAGTACTTATTCTTTAATGAAAAAAAATCATATATAATCTCGGAGAGAATGAGCGTTTTGAGCTGACAGAACACATTATCCATGAAACGGACACTTAATGGTATTCTTAGTATATGTGCAGTACTCACTTAGAGCCCTTTTCAAACACTTTCCGGTCAATGCATTTTAAGTTGCAATACTTTTTCTCTGGTTGTTTTTATTTCACTGTTATTGTTATTTTTGTTTCTTTAGGTTCTTATAGGTTTTATTGAAAAATATTTACATTATTCATTTTTACACATTCTTAGTCACGTATCCTTGTTAATTCCATGACCCAATACCCTTTTTTCACTTAGCCACAATAGGTCACGATTTTTCTCGTTGTTTATCTACACCCTACCTATATTATCTTGTGAAAACCGCATTTGTGACGTACACTTGGAGGTCGGTTTAATATCATGTGCTGAGGAGGCTGACTTAGGGGACGAACATTTATTTCAATTCAATCAATCAGTGCCCATTTTTCTGAAAGTCATTTCGCAAACATGTCCGAAATTCATCTTCTTTAGTCCCTTTTCCGTCCTTGAGTGTTGAATTCCTTCTGACATGCCGAACCAGATCTGGTTGTGGAAGTGACCAAAAACAAACGGACTTGTAATAGTATTTTAATACCTGTATAATAATTAAGTAAGGAAGTTTAATCAGTGTCATTTTTTTCTGAAATTTTATCTACAACCTACCTATATTATCTTTTGAAAACTGCATGTGTGACGTATATTTGGTTAAATTTGACACTGTGGAAAGTAGCATGTTAGCAAAAGCATGAAATACAAAATTTGACTAGAATTTTGTTGTCTTTTATTAAAAGAGGATAAATCATGTACATGTCACTTAAAATGTAATGTATGTTGTTTCATACAAACATTTCTAATGTGTAAATGTTTACAATAAAATAGCAAAATGATAAAAAATAAAAATGGCACAATAGCATTCTATTCTCAAATCTCCAAAATAGCGCTAAATACTCGTATGTAAACAATCTCTGTAGATTATATCCATGTTTATTAAGAATGTCCCTTTGTAAATGTCGTAATAAACAGTACATCAACAGATCGTTTTATCATAACATTTTAAAACGTTTAAATAGTTTCACTCTTTGTTTGTCTATAAGTTGAAGGATACTCGCTTTTCCTGGGGAGACACAAACGACAACCCGAGGGGGAAAATATTGCACAAATCCCGTTATACATGCTTAAAAACATTACAAACAATAAATAATAATAATTTATGGACGGAAACTCATAAGGAAGTTAGCAAAGTATTTCATATCAAATTTCCTCAAAATTGAAAATTTGAATTAAAATAAACATTATATCACTATATTGCTGTAGTAAATTCCCTTATTTGTGTATAAATAAAACAGGAAATTAAGTCTCGGAAGCGAAAGTGTATGCTATATATAGTGTATCACTCATGGATGTAATTGATCATAAGGAATGGAGTGGCATGTGAAACTTTTTCACGTGTCAATGATGTATCAAACATATGAGTCATTATAAATGCATTTTGTATCACATTGCACGACTTTCTTGGACACCAGAAACTGGTTTGCATAGCCCTTTAATAACACCCATCGCTGCTGGTATAGAGCCTCGTTCTGGCAACGTCCAGGTTACATTTTCCTCTGGTGATCTTCTATAAAATCCCAAAGATCTCATGACAGACATATGACGTTCATATAATGACTTCACAGATCCGTAGTAACAATCCGGTATAGAGAATCCACTGGAGGTATCTGACAGCTGAAATAAAGATAAATATAGCTATTTATCTCATTTAACAAAACAGTCTGACAATATATCATGGAAATAACTGAATTCGCGTTAATCTGTTCATACGCTAACTATTCGCAATCTTCCTTTCCGAAGAAAATTATTTTGTTTTAGATATGTTCAATCTTACTAAAATCTGGTAAAACTGTAATCTGGATTAATAGGATCTTGACTGACAAGGTTCCAAATCATTAAAATTTATCAAGAAGTACTCATTTGTCATACATAATATGAATAGTAAGTTTAGTCACACATTTAGCCGCTGTGTGTTTCTAATAGATCAAAAATATATAATTGAGAAGAAAGGACACATTACAACGTCAGTTATATCAGGGACTTAGATAATCTAATTCCGTGGTTATATCACTGATATGGAAATAATGAGATATTAGCAAGCAGGAATACATATGGTATCACGTGATATTTGTTCTAAAATTGTTAACATTTCGAATGTATGTCTTACCGTTTCATACAGCGTAGATGCGTCCCTTTTACTAAGGCTGACTATGAATCCCACAACGTGCCAGGATAACACTGCAAAATGTTTCAATACACACAATTTACAATCTATATATATATAGTAAGAAAGCGTAGTTGTTACAAATTCCATATTTAAATATCAAAGTGAAGTCTGCAGTAGAGATTCGTTTCGGATGAAGTGGCAAGTGCGCTACGAATGCGTGTTTCTCAAAAAGATAACATAGAAATGTTAGACTTGTTTGAAGTTGAAATTACCAATAATTCAGAGCTTTCAATAGATTATGTTCAAATTCTACATTTCATCTATAATAGGAGTATTGTTTTAATATAAAATGACTCACCTTTTAAGAAACTCAGTATTTCTATAAAGCCCTGAAGACAGGTGACTTCGGTATTTTCCTCCACGCTGACACCAATAGACCGGATGTTACGATTTGTATCCGGTTCTTCCAAAGCGAGATTTAGGCCTACCATGACTCTTCTCCAGTTAACAAGATCAAGGTCAGTCGGTGTTTCCTCATAATTTATTCTTACTAGAGTTTTTGAACCAACCTTTCTTGCAGCTATAGCATTTGTTATCTGCAGAAATAAAAGAATTTTATTACATTATTTCTGGATGGATAGGTCTAATCTTTAGTGATCTTTTTCAACATATAAAACATGAAAATAATTGCCTCCTATCATTACAGTATATAAATTGTATTTTGATAAAATCTGAGGAATAAATAAAATGTCACTATTATTGTCATTTTATTTTTAGATGAAACACTTACGTTTGAAACCAGAAACGTGACCAGTTGGTATTGGTTGTCTCCCTTAGTTTGACCTTGTAACATCTCTATCAAACCCCTCCGCCAGTACTTCACATCAGTTTTCATTAACAAGCACTCAATACACTGGCGAGGTGTGGCTTCATCTAAATAAAATAAATGAAAGGTCAGATTATTATACACTGATGATTTTAAAATACTGAAGTTTATAGGTCTAGTTGACCCTTATAAATACTCGGAGTAAATAGCAACATGGCACTGTTTGCATGCGAGATGTTCTGCTGAGTGTAATGGTGTGTTCCATTTAATTAGAAGAAAGACGTGCCCTTCCTTAATATGGTTAGGGAGTTAATATTAACATTGAGGGCAAAGTATCTTTTGTCAAGGCCTTTATGAGCAACAGGTGTCAATTTAGGTGTAAACTGTGTAATAATAAAGATATCGTTTCTCGATACATTCGGTGCTAAGTTAATTACCAGATAATAAATCTGTACCATACCTTTGAGCGATACACATCCTCGAGTAGCTGGATCTTTCATGGAATACATAGGTAAGGGTTCACCTGTTTGAAAGATCAAATATATACATAATCATTAACGATATTCCTTTGCCATAGCAACCTTACCTTACAAAGTCCTTGTTATTGGAACTTTATAATGAGATCACAGACCATAATTGTCAAATAATATCAGAATACAACAATTGTCAAGACTATTAAAGTTTTGTGATATCAACTTTATCCAACGTTTTGAAGGTAACTCAGGTACAAAGAAATGTGTGAGGTAGATTGACCTGTACAATAAATTAAATATTTCTTTAGAATTTCTGTATTTTGGACTTTTCTGTGATTTTCGGTGCAAGTCAAATACACCAAACCAGAATTAATACCTATGAATATTTTAAATCGAATAGCATTCTATTCATGAATCCAAAAATATGCGCAAATGGTAAAACTATTTTCAGCATAAAGATGAAGGTAAAGCTGTATACAGTGTTTAGAAATCGAGACAATGAAAATACGAGTAAGTAAAAAATACCACGATGTTGAAGTTCAACATATCATTTTTAACACAAATAAATGATAAACAATCAAATTGATAATGGAACGACTGAATGAATACTGAAGCATGGGAAAATGATCTGAAAAGCCATAGTAAAGGATGGTATTAGTGTGACCTATCCTCTCTCAAAATGGTAACAATTGTAAAAGAAATCGTTGAAAAACAAGCCGAGAACATTATAAGACATTCTAATGAATTAAATATATTCACAATGAGCCCTGTATCATATATTTCATTCTGATCATTATATATATTATGTTTGATAAATCAACTTACCATAGCTAGTATTTTCAGGCATCTTGTGGTACTGCTGGTTTAGACTGATAATAATCCTGGTATATTATATGTATGAACCGTGTGGGATTTCCCATTCTATAAATAGAAGCATACATGTGTCACTCCTTTTAAATGCATAAAGGCAAGGATATGTTTCCGGGGGAAACTTCATATGACAAAACCCAAAAAACACACGTGGTCAACCCAACTTAGACATGTGTCACTTATATACTCATATAATTAGACATGATGTCACTTATATGTATTACGTGTACTTCTGTGTCTAATGTTCACGCTTCGTCAGGCTTTTAGTCCAAGGTACCCGGTAACAATACCTCGGGTAGGAAGATGGGTGTGTATTTGAATAGGTAATTAGGACTCGTACCAGATTGTGTAGGATGTAAACAAATGGAGTGACAGTATCAGTTGACACAAGAAAGACCCCCTGGGTGTTGTGTTAGGGATTGTCACTGGTCAGCTGATTACACATACCGTTTTGAGTCACATACACCCCGCTAATAACGTATGTCTATCTAAATCAATGATGTATCCTTTAGGTGTGTTCCCTGAACGCATACATATTGAGAACAATAGGTAGAAACATCAAAGGGAGGGTAATTATAGTTTGTATCATATATGTTACCTGATATATTTTACCTATAGATCTACCTGTGAGTATTACAGGTAAAATGTGTGTATCATATATGTACTAGATAGGTAGATCTACCTGTGACAGCCCCAACAGTTGATCTTCATCATCATTTTTATTTGATAAATCCATACTTAATATCAATATATTATTTATATAAAATACAAATAGAACAGTGAAAGACATAATATATTTTAAAAGATATTAAATAATGAAACTTAGTCAGTACATTACAAAGTTGTTGAGCTCAAAGCTACTTACTAATATAGAGCAGTTATTTACATAGATACAATACGGTCATCTGCCTTATGCTGATATCAGCATATTAAATAAAAGAATAATGACAAATCATTTCTCATATATCTCAGTGTGAAACTTGTAACAATACATATATAATAAATAAACAGCACTAATGATAATCATCCGAGATTAAAGCACACACTTAAAAACTCACAGCACTGTCCATTTGGTTCTATTCAACAGAGTTCTATGTAAATTCAGCCTAAGTGAATAAGCTTGGATGCTGTATCTACGTAGGTCATGATGTAGCAAGGTCAGCTAAGTTCTCTGAGATGACGAAGGCGAGGATTCTGCATTGGTCACCATCGTCAATGTACAAGAAGCGCTCTCCAGTAGTGGTTTCTGTCCATCTTCCCTCGAGTTCAATGTCCTGGGTTGTGGTTGGTAGCTTTGGTGTTAGCTTGCGTCTAGCTCTGTACAGTTGAGATTTCAAAGTGTTGAAGGTGGGTATCTTCTCCACAACGGCTCTTGTCTCATCATCCCATTCGTCGTCGCGCAGTTTATAGAGTTCCTCATTGTAGATGGTAGGAATTGGTCTAATTTCTTGCTGGCAGCGGTCAGTAATGGAGTTCATGATCTCCTTGGCAACGATGCTGGCTTGATCTCCCGGGTCTGTAGCTTGGGCTCCATTAATACAGTTCACTACTTTTTTAACTGATCTCAGAGAAGTGAACAGTTTTTAAATTAATACATTTCATTTGCAATATAACTTTTGAACCAGTAACTTTAACAAATTATTTTGATAGAAAATGATAAAATAAATGAAATTTAAATCGCAATAATGTATTGTTATCGGAATGAAAAAAAGATAATAAGAGCATTAAACCTATATAATAAATGTACGTCTTCATATACATTTTAATTTCATTTAAAAAATCATAACATAACAATCTGGAATTTCTTTCACATGTACAGGTGAAAAACACAGGTAATAACACAGGTAAAAAGCCCAGGTAAATCAAACTAACTTCAACGAAATAGGCTATAATCACTATGAAAACATATCTCCTGATATGTGTTTTTAAAATGTATGCGTTCAGGGATACAGCCATCCTTTATACCATAACTAACCCGGGGGATAGAAAGTTATGTTATCTAAATATGTGTGTTATATAAACAAACAATACAATCATTGCAGTGCACATTTATCAAATATACGTCACGATGTATGACAATGGATGTGTTGACAATCTCAGCTTTAATTCAGTTACGTACCCGGATATTATAGTTTAAAATTTATTTTTGGGCATGTTTGAACGATACTATTCAACACCATACACCATTTAAATACACGTATATACCTGACCTACATTTCTTCCTTGTATAACGGAAAATAACACACCCGGTAGCACAGAAATGTAGCCAATATATAAAATATATAACCTATGTGTACCTTGTTATTTTCCACGTAATAATCGTAGGAAATGTTCGTACTTTCAAGGTTTCAATGAAAAAACAACAACAAAAAAACACTTTCAAGGTTACCCTGCTTACCTACTGGTATTTATACCAGAAATAAACAACTCACCTGTAAATTTCCCGTAATATGAGGTGTAGTGTAAACATAAACACTATGAGTCACGGAATTCCACTGCCTTGTGGGTTATCGCATATTTAAGCTATTCAAAATTTAACAATAAAAAATAATCAAAAATATTCAATATATAAGCTACATACTTCAAACGTGTGGAATAGTTCAGGACAATCGGGTGACAATGGCGATGGCGAATCTAAATTTTATCTAAAATAAATCAGAACAATGAAAGGGATAACAAAAACAAAAAACAATGAACTATTTTAAGGATCGATATATAATAATGAGTATACATCCGTTTTAGACAAAAAGGTTGCATAAAATATCGAATCGATGTACTGTCGATTCGTTTGGTTTGTCATCAAGTTCAAGTTCTTTATTACCTTGGGTCGTTTGACCCATCGGTTTCAAAAGTAAGATATATTTACAATATCTACAGACAATACAATACAATACATGTAATACATAGAATACAATACCAGCAATGTACAAGTTAATTGGTTTCTTCTTACATTTGCCGCTTTTATATATTTGGCCAAATTGACAAGTTCTTTTGTGGTATTTACATTAAATGGATTCGCATACCATGTACAATACTCTATTATTAATAGGTCAAGTCCATAACGGGACAGAAGAGTCTTATCTTTGTTTTAATTAACAACGAAATACACGATTGAATGATTAATACAAAGTAATACAATGTACATTCACCAACCTGGCGTTTCGTTTTGATATTTATAAATTGGAAATAACAGTGATCTGTAGATATATACTTATATAACACCAGTAACCGCTATCAGAAGGTACACTCAAGTGTTCTGGGATGTTGAGTGTTTCCTGACTAAAAAGCAACTTCCGTCACGACATAAATATTTCCTGAATCATTCACGCCACTTTTCCAGAACAAACTTTCATCACAGTAAATACTAAAATTCTATACATAAATTATGTAATATTGGCAAATGTAAAAAGATGTGTAGCGTAGTTCAGTGTCTCACCGGTAGAATACCTTGGTTATTTAAATTGAACAAAAGGTAGTACCAATTTGAAATTTCCTCTCCCATAACAATTAATTGCGAAACACAAAGTAAGGAAGCGCGCATTAAAATAATAAGCTTGTTGATGTAGGGAGCCAAAAAAGTCCTTATATACTGCACCATATTGCCATATCGTCTATTAGGGACTCATAAGTGGTACTAAGTCAAAAGAATGAAAATCCATCTCAAAATGTCCCGACACATATGTCAAATACAGAAAAATATACAGGTGCCTGAAAACACTTCATTACGCTACACATTTACAACTTCCGTCAAAACAGCAGATAATATATTCTTAAACTAGTATTTAATGCAAGCCTAGACAGATGAATTCCTCCTACGAGGTAACGACCAGCCTTGTGGACTTACAGACCAACAGTCGAGTCAACCATGCAGTTTTTAAAAAGTTGGTTTGTTGATGCAGAAAACAAGAGTTAAAATTTGTTGCGTCAAATAGGTCCACTTTAACCGATTTACTTGTAAGGAAAACTACTATTTCAAAAGTCAGTTCTTTGATTTCGAAAACCATACACAGTAAATGTTCACTGCAGCATACCTAATCAATCCATTTAGGACTCGGCAGTGACCAAAATAATGAAATACACTTCGAAAGTGTTCCTGATCATATTTTAAAAAAACACAATAAAAAGGAAATGTACACATACAACTTTCAGTTGTGTTACAAACTCATTACAACTTTTTGTGTTACAAACCCTTTACAACTTTTTGTGTTACAAACCCTTTACAACTTTTTGCGACAGCAGAATGAACCGTGTCAGGATTAGTTCTAGCTATAAGGTTACGGCCATCCTCGGGGACTGATAGTCCAGCAGCAGAGTCCACAATATTGTTGCATTAAAATAATTACTAGAAATACAAAGAAAAAAGAGTAATTTTGGTACATTTGTATATATATATATGTGATGATTTCAATCAATCGCACCTGTATAATATAAAGTTTTTTTCCGACAGTCATTAAGTACGGAAGGTTCACTTCCTGTTTCAAATTGTAAAAAAAAAAATTAAAAAAATCCATCAAGATTGATTATGTATTTATAACATACATCGTTTACTGTACCGCATTGATTGACAATTAAATATTCCGTCTTTGCGTATTGCAGAGTTATCTTCTCTTGGGAGCAGGCATTGATTGTTACGTCACTTGTTTATGAGAGAAACGTCATCAATTTTTGAGAAAACGACGTAATTTTCTCACACAGACCAATGACGTAACAATCAATACCTGTTCCCAAGAGAAGATAACTCTGCAATACGCAAAGACCGAATGGAGATAATTAGAGTATCTAGCTTTGTGAGCTTAATGAAACTTTATAGTAAAATTTGTTTCGGATATATTTCATAATTATTAAAATTGGAAACAAAATATACGCGTCCTGGGATTCAAAATGATCGCTGTCAGATAATATGAACAAAACCATTCACTTATCCCAATACGATCTAAAAAGAAAATGAATTGGAAAATTTGGTCAAGTATTAATGACACATGGATCCAGGATATTCAAACAGTTTATATACTCAAAGACCTCGATATCTCTGTCCACGTACAGCGGAGTGTATTACGAAATCACCATGTCCGTTTGTAACCATTGTTGGTACTCTGCACTACTTCTATCTTCGCTAGCCAAGGGTTGATCCGGTACGATCTACCTACTAAGAGAGTAGGTAGATCGTACCGGATCAACCCTTGGCTAGCGAAGATGCACTTCTTCAACCTTTATAAGGTTATTACACTTAGTAAGAGAGGAAGAC